TTGGGCAGCTGAGCGGGCAGGCGTCTTCTGTTCTAGAAGCATGCCTCTAGCGTCCTCTACAATAAAATCCGTATATTAGATCACCAATAATAAGAAAACTTAAGTGTTGAAGCAATAAAGACGGCATTAAAATGCCGGATGGTTTTGACATACGTTTGTCAAACATGGTATTGAGACCGCAGGCGGACAAGAAGCACTCATCCTTCAGCCACTCATGCTTTAGTACCCAATTTTTGGCCCCAATAATTTGTTTGTCGGTTGATAGGGGCATGGTGGTTACCCCAAAGAAATCCGGCTCTATTATTTTGTCCTAGTCGTCTGGGATATGGGGCATAGCACACTTCTTGCCCAGCAGCTCCGGCTTCTTATTGTAACGATGATATTCAGGATTTTCTCGCCGTTTAGGGGAAGAAACAAGATAGAACTTGTTCCTCCAATCAGACCACTTAGACGGTTTGTCTAAGGTCATAAGGTATTCCGGGTAAGTGGTCAGTGTGTACCACGCCTGCGAGCAGCCTGGGTTACGGCTCAAATAATGCATTTTGGAAAAAGCCTCCCAGCCGGGATGGAGGTTCTGCATCCCGCAGGCGGCAATGTAGCCCAGAATGTTGACCCAGGAGTTTGGGTCAACTGCCACACGCCTAAGCCATATCCTCGAAGAATAGCCATTATTGCGTCATGGAAGGGGAAGCGGAGGCCGGCTAAGAATGCCGCCTCATAACAGCCAAAGTAGTCATTGGTGTTTCGTTGGCCATCTTCCCATGCTATGATGCCCAATTCAGGCGGCACCCGGATGGCACGGTTCCCCCCAAGGGGTCGTTTCTTCTTGAAATTTTCAAGGCCTGCCTGCATGTTTGCCCTATCCCTGGCTGAAATATGAATTTAAAATGGACTCGTCTTATTACTCTAGAGGCGGCGCTCCTCCTCCTCATTATTCACCATCGGTTCTAATGAGTTGCTGCTGCCCTCTTCAGAGTCCGACCTAGAGGCGGACTCCCCACTATTTCTCTCCTCAGAGTTAGGCCTAGAGCTGGCCTCTTCACCGTCTCCAGACTCAGACTATGCTAAGATACTATCATTTGGAGTGCTAGGGGCAGCAGGTGGAGAATTCAATTCTACCTCAATCGGTCTAACTTCGTCAGACGATACTTCTACAATGTCTTCCTCTCTATAATCCGGATCAGGTGTCGTCTGCTTCGTCTAAGCCATAGTGTCCTGCACAGACACAAAGACGGCCGGATTTGGCAAAGAACAAGGGTGCTCCATACACCCAGAGGCGGCACCCCCAGTCCTAGACTTAGCCGTACCTGGAGACCGGCTGAATTCTGTCCTAGGCTGTGTCGTGTGTGTTGATGGTGAATCCATTTATTTCAAAACAATATGCACAACCGGTAAAAGGATGAGAGAGAGAGAGACGGTTACCTCAAATACATTTTTTTGAGGTGATGAGGTTTCAAGCGCTGACCGGCTGTAACAAGCGGGGAAAGTAAGCCAAATTTGTAGAAGGAAGTACAGGCAGTTATTAGAGTTTCTCTCTCTAGAATTGTTGACTTTCTCTCTGTAGACTTTGAAAAAATGACAAAAACGAGGGAGGGGTAAATGCCTATTTATAGAAGGATAAATTCAGGGGCATCCCTGTAATTTCCCCAAAAGGGGAACAGTTAAAATCTGTTCACCAATGCCAGAGTGACAAGTGTCACAAGCGCCACGTGGTAGCCACGTCACCCCTCTGAGGGGCAAATGATTTAGGTAAAAATACCCAGGCCACGTGGCCCAATCAGAAGGGGACACATGTCACCCCAGGAAAGGTCCAGAGTGGACCAATCACCACCTGACACATGGCATTCTCAATCATCAGGGAAAAAGGCGGCTTTAAAAGGCCCAATTCCCTAGAACGCTGTAAAAACGGCGCAGCCCATTTACCTAGGTTGAAGACCTAGAAAAGGGGAGCACTGATTCCCATGACTCTATAAATAGGGAGATTTACCCCAAATTGGGGACACATTCATTCATTATTACAATTAATTCTCTTACAACAGAGAAAACACCTGATCCTGGAATTCGAGAAGATCTACTTTTATTTTCCGCACTTTATACTCTCCTTCGACTCTTACTAACTTGATCGTTGGAGGCGAACCTCTGCACAACCGGAGCTTCTGTTTGTTTACAGGTACAACCAGCGAGGACCCAGTCTTGGTGACGTAACTCTCCCGCAGAACACATAAAAAATCCCAAAACATGGCGCATTCTAGTCACCCTAACAAAAAAATAAATAAATAAAAATAAAAAATAAAATAAAATAAAAAAATAAAAAAAAATTGTTAAGAAAAGTTTTTAGATAAGTTCAAAGCAATTTCAATAAATTTCATTAATTTCCGTTATGGTTCAATAAGATTAAAAACAAATTATAATCGGGTCTAATAAGTTTTTCTAATAAGGTTCAATAATAATTTTACATAAGTCAAAAGATACGTATTAGGAGTTTTGGTATAATTAATTTACTACTAGCTTATTAATTTATAATTGTTTATATATATGTTGTAGTTGTCTTAACAAATAATACGTTATAGTTAAAAGTGATGATTTCACTTTAATAAAAAAAAAATAGTAATTATTTTATTATTGATAAATAATTTAAATGATGATCCTGAAAAGGTTTCAAAATCATCCCAAACAACTTTTAATCAATAACTTTCAAACAAGTCCAATTAGTTTTAATACGATTATATCTTATTTGAATCTAATAAGTTGATAAGTTACGATATTGCTCAAGTGAGATAAGTTTAGGAAATTTAAGGTGAATAAATTGCATTCTAAAAAGAGAATGCATCCCCAAAAGCCTTACATGAAATTTCAAGTCTCGCCATAACATAAAAAATTAAAGTAAGAGAGATTTTAATTTAACCTTTAATACTTTTTCAATGATGTAAATAATATTCCCGGCTTAAATTTAATTATGCCTTTTTACTTTTGAGCTCCCCTTTTTTTTTTTTTTTTTTTTTTTTTGAAAGTAAGATACAGGGGTAAATTAGGAACGTCTTCTTGCAAGGTCGTGCCCTAATCTATCTAAAAGTAGGAAATAAGAAAATTTGCTATTTATAAATGGGTCAATATCTTGGTGCGTCGGAGTGAACTTTTGAACTACTTACAATCACTTCTTTGACTATTTTTATGACTTATAGATAACAAAAACATAGTCTTGAGCTTGTTATTTCTTTTAATATGTGTATTTTTACATTATCAACTTTGCATAATTTTTATTAATTAGAGATATTAACGGTTGAACTCAAATATTGATAATTGTAATAAAAAAAACAAATTAACTAATTTAAAACGGAGAAAGTACAACAAATTGTCATAAAAGATTTTGAGCATATCAATAAATTTTTGGCAAATTTTACATATCAACATCATGACAACTATGCGTAACATTTGTGACTTGGACTCGGGTGGTCATGTAGTCCTATAAGGTACCGATTTTCTCAATCTTAATTTCCATCTTTGTTACTTAGAATTGGGTGGTCATGTAGTCCTATACAGGTACCGATTTTGAGTGAATTGCAAAATGTGAAAGTACAAAAATAAACTTGTATTCACTTATTAGTCAAATCAAACATTTTTTTTCATAATAAAGCAGTATTCCTTGATTTATCATACTCCTCCATTTAGTAAAATTTGAATCAATTTACACGTTATAGTGATATTTTTGACTTTCTTTATTTGATTCATATTTTAGTTTGAAAAAATCAGATAATCTTAACTTTGGCTGATTAGCTTTTATTAATTCCAATCATCAATTAATTTTTACTAATTAAAATTTTAGAGGGGGAGGGGGTGGAATCGTTGTTTTCAATCCCAGTAGATATTTTATGGATTATAACTAGTTTCTTGTCATGTAACAACACCTAATTGGTGAACAAAAATTAATTTGATTGTATAATATTAAATTTACTTTCCTCCAATCCCTACCAATTACCTTCACTTCCAACACCACCACCCGACTAACAACCTGGCCGTGCCTAATCGGGCCAAAGGGTGGGCCAGGCCGTGCTATACCCGTGATGCTTGCGCCCGGCCCGTGCCCAGCTTTACTCCCACCCCTCTACTCCCCCACCATTGAAAACTAGCCCTTTCAAGTTTCAATTCCCCCCTCCCTAATTGTAATAAAGTGAGACAAATTTATTACGATACGATCCTAAAGTCAAAATAAAGTATGTAAATAGTTTCTAAAAGTTAAAATGTATTAACCAAAAAAAAAAAAAAAAGAAATATTCAAAAAACTCAGATATTTTTTTAAGTTAAGAAAAATGCATCCTGAACCTCTACCGTCCCTTGAATGTAGAGGAGGGGAGGATAACAAAATCCCAACCCCAAATTGATCAAATATTACCATTTTGGCATTCATGAAACTGAATTATCCCTCACTTGTGTCCCTTCCCATACGGAAAAATAAATTAAAATAACCCTAGCTATAGATCCCAATGATTTTAATTTATTTATTTATTTATTAATTTTTTTATTTGTTTAAAGTGAACACAATAATCTAATTTAACAGATGAGAGTCGTAGTCCCTGAAGCTGGCATCTTCAGTAATGTGTCCTCCATGTTGTAACAACAATTAATAAAGGAAAGAGGTCAACAACAATATTTGATCGTGCTTCTAACAACTGTTTATTTATTTATTTATTTTTATTCTATAACTACATTCCTCAATAATAATCATGATGATTTAGCATGTCAGATGGAATTCCAACAGCCGAGTTACATTGCTAAATTACTTCTCACCTTATAAGTGGTGTTGTGCATTGCCCTACTTAGAGTTTGTGTTATTGGACAATTCGACTTATAATTGTTCCATCCAATTTTACTCAAACTTTGTTTCATAATCCATATATTAAACATGTGGACCAAAAAGTTTTAATCTTAAAACAGATTTATTTCTATCAGTATATTATAATGATTCGTTACTTTTTGTTTTCTTTAGGTTATTTTCAAACTTAATGGATTGTAATAACAACTATTACGACAATCATATCAGTTTCAACTACAACAATGAGAGTTGCAATAGAGACCTAGTGACTCTATTAGATGGTACAAACCTCCCCAATACAAACGTAGGTGAGGATCACAACATCAAATTGGACAATATTTTACAAGATTTGTTCAAAGAAGTTGATACAAGTACGTGTAACTTGAGCGGAAAAAGTAGTACTGATAACGACGATTCTACTCCAATCAACATACATAAAAGCAAAAAAAGGAAGAGGAGAGGTCGAGAAGATAACAAAGAAGCTGTTCGAAGATACCGTGAAAAAGTTAAAGCGAAAGAAGCCTTACTAGAGGAAGAGATTCAAATGTTACAAGAATCAAATCAAGAGTTACTTAAGAGACTAGAAGGCGAAGGTGCATTGCAAGCAGAGATTACGTGGCTTAAGTGTTTGCTCGTCGATATAAGAGGGAGAATCGAAGGGGAGACTAGCTCTTTTCGGTATGGTGGACAACCCTACACAAGTTGTTATGATTATGATCAAAGGTTGACATACGACGGGTCTTATGGCATTGGTGGAAGTAATGAGAAATCAAATTAATTCGATGATATATATGGTCATGGTCTTAATGGTAGTGAATTGCATTGAAGAAGCTTAATTCAAATTTTAGTTTAGCATTTAAACCAAAAGACATTTCAAACTCTTGAGGTGAATTGAATGTACTAACTTTGAATTGTTGAATTGGAAATGCAAGGACCAAAAGTTATTTGTCATGTAATTTTAATTTGTTGTTAGTAATCCTACTTGGATTATTATAAAAATAGCAAAACAATATTGTTTATTGTTTGATTTTTTTTTTTTAATTTTTTATTTTATTTTAATTGAATCTTGTTCATTTTTAAAATCTTTGACTATATTTTTTTTTATTGAAATAATCAAGAGTAAGTCTTGTATGTGGCTAGCCACATGATGTGACCACATTGATTTATAAGAATAATCCTTATTAATATATATGAGTAACCCTATTTATTCATAAGAGTAACCTCATTTTGTCCATTAAAGTAACTCCAATTCATTACATGAGTAATATCAACTAATTTAGAAATAAGTAACCTCATTTGTTCATTTGAGTAACCCCTATTTTTTTGTTTTAGAATTTGAAAGAATGATTCCACTTATGTAAGAGATTAACCCTTTTTTTTCATTTAAGTAACCCACATAGGTCAAGGTAACCTCATTTATTTATCACCGTAACCCCCTATTACTTAATTAAATGCCTTACTATGAAGTGGCACACTGTGTGGCTAGCCACATATAAGAATTTGTGAATTGTCTTATATGTGTTTATGTGAAGTGGTCACACCAGGCCATGTGGCTAGCCACATATAAGAATTTGTGAATAGTCAATTTATTAATAAAAAGTCATACGACATTTACAAATGAAATCTAAAATTACCAAATATATAGAAACAAATCAAACAAAAGTTTTCTTCATTGAAGCCATGATCGTTTAATAGTTCTTGCACATTATTAGTACATCCCTCGCATACAGTACTAGAATATAAAACTTTTTCGGAGATATGGTCTAACAATTCTTTGTAGGCAAGAGGAGGAATTTCATCTGATTCTTTTGATCGTATTTGAAAACTTGACATCTTTGTAATCCTACACACACGATTCTTTACCAACGAATGAATTAAAGGGCAGAAGATAAATTTTTTTATAAACCCTATTCATAATAATTCCCTAAGAGGAACCAACAACTACACAACGACCAACAATGTAATTACCATATGGAGACCAGTACATGTACACTACTCGTGTAGATATTTAAAATCAACAATGAAAATTTAAAGCAAATCATGGAGAATGGGTCGGAAATATTCTAATTTCTTAAGAGATTAAACAATTTTAAGTTATAAACTACTTGTAAAAACAAAAACTCGGAATATATAAATACAGTATCATAATGATCAAAACCATATCATTTGGGATATTGCTAGATGTGTCTTAGAATTAATTTTCAAATTTTTTTTTTATAAAAAATATTACTCATATCAAACTGAACTTATTTTTGGCCAAAGTTATATGAATAGGAGACCATGTACGTACGAATGTTTATATATATATAAAAGGAGTAAAATAATTTATTCTACTTGCAGAGATTAATGACAATTATTATGTATACTGGTCTTACTACTTGTACAATGCATGGGTTTACAAATTTGGGGGAGCTCTACATTTTACATTGCATATTGCTTTATTCTTCTTTGGAAAAATAGCCTGAAATAATCTCACTTTTGGGACTTCCGTCCAAAATAATCCCACCTTTGTGTTATTTTTAAATAATCTGATTTTTATACTCAATCCGCTCAAAAAGATCCCGAGTGACTCGTAACTGGTTGAAGAGGTAATTTCTTTTATTAAGTTTAATTTACACGAGTCACAACTTGATTTGTCTAAAATTAAAAAAAAATTAACAAAAAAAAGTAAAATAGAATAAAAAAAAAAATCCACCACCACCTAAGTTTCAGCCACCACCATCCCCCACCACCACTCAAACCCAGACCCCTGAATCACCACCCGACCCAGACCCGAAACCACCGCACCAACCGGGATCCCACCCCAGACAACCCAACCCCAAAACCCCCTTTGAAAAATTGAAAACCGACCAAACAAAATGAGTTTATGAGATCGGCGCGACCTTAATCGAGATCGAAGGAGGACGGCCCGGTCGGATTGGGGGACAGGGAAGGTCGGCGTGGCTGAAAAAGGGAAATGGGACGAGAAAGGGGCTGAGATCGGGATGTGAAAAGAATTTTCAAGGGTTGGGGGGGGGGTGGTTTTAAGGTTGCTGGTGTTTTTGTTTTCGTGGGGGAGGGAGGGGATTAGTGGTTCAGGGGAGGGAGAGGGGGGTCAGTCACGTGCCGTAGCCGGCGCTGGGATTGGGGGCTTGCTGGCCGGAGCCGCGTGGCGGGGATGACGGTGGCTTGGGCGGTGGGTGGTTTTTTGAATATTAATTTTATTTTTAATTTTTTCTTTTAATAAAAAATTTAACTTTTTTAAAAAATTTATTTTATTTTATTTTTAATTTTTTTGACCAATCACAGGCCGCCACGTGTCTGGTAATTTGTTATAACAAGTTACATGACCGGTTGGGACCATTTTGAGCCGATTGATTATAAAGGCCGGATTATTTAAAAATAACCCAATGGTAGAATTATTTTTAGCGGACGCTCCAAAGGTGGGATTATTCCGGGCAATTTTTCCTTCTTCTTTTTTCCCTTTCTACCTAGTATTCAGAAAAAGTGTAGAAGCTAATAGTGTTACGGTTATGCAGCCAATGGCGGATCTAGCATTTTTGAGATGGTTAATCACCATTCATTATTAATCACTAGTGAAAAACAAATATTTTTTCCAGGTCTTGTTCATAATTAATTTCAATCCAAAAATTATACTACGTATAAAAAAAATATATTTCATCAAATTGATTTCAATCCAAAAAAAGGACTCAAAAATCCATAATACAGGATTTAAAATTTCAATTTTACAAGTCGAAAGTACTACAATAACATGTTACAAACAAATGGTACTATTAACTTTATGATTTTTTACTTAATTGATAAGCTTTGGGGGAAAATATTAATATTGGTTACACACATATAGGATATAAATAGAAGCAAAATTATAAAGAAAAAAAGAGTGAGATAACTTAAGAGACTGGCTACTAAATATAACCGGTCTCTTTAATTATAAAAGAAAGCAGCGCAAAACTCATGAAAATGCAATTCTAGCGCAAAGCGGTTGTTATTATTAAAAAAAAGCGCAGCGCAAAGCTCTTGAAAATGCAATAGCAGCATATAATAATCGGTTATTTTAAAAAAAAAAAAAAAAAAAAAAAAAACGCACCGCAAAGCTCTTGAAAATGCAATAGCAGCATATAATAACCGATCTCTTTGAATTTTTTTTAAGAAAGAAAAACTGAACAACAACTTTTTTTATTATTATTTTTTTTTACTAGTAAGTCACGTGCACCATTGTACACATGAATAGGTCCGCCCCTGTATATAGCCTCGAATCAGGTCCCAAGGTAAATAATATATAACTGAATTTTTAAATATTGGTCAAGTCTGGTGTAGTTTAAATTTTTCTGATCTGATCTAGACATCTAGTTAATTTAGTCAGATTGACCAATTTAACTAAATTTTGACCTTTTTGTACATCAATGTATAAGAAAAAAAAAGCACTATAAAGTGAGATTTTGTTAGATTCATCTCAACATGTATTTTTTGAAACATATAATTTTATAGCTTTACAAATACGAAATTAAAGATATATATCAATAAGCTTATATAACTAATACGATCTAGTCTTGCTTGTTTACAATACTCAGATTTGGTTTGACCTAGTCTAATTATAATAAGAATTATATTATACTATTAATATTACGGAGTAGTTTTATCTAGCAATAAAATATTAAATACTACATGCCATAAATAATAATGTACTCCCTCCGTATCTTTATTAAAGACCTATTTGAGTTTTTTCACGGAAATTAAGAAAGTTAGTGGAAGTACATAAGTGCATGTGGGGTTAGAGAGAGATAGAGAGAAAAAAAAAATGGTTGGGAATAATTGAAGAGAGAGAGATCAGAGAAAGTGTTGGAAACTGATGAAAAAGGTCATTATTAGTACAAAAAAGTGATGACAACTCATCAAAAAATGGAGATATTCTCAAATAGTACAAGCTTAAAATAGAAACAGGTCTTTAATTTTAATTTGCCAAAAAAGGAATACAGGTCTTTAATAAAAGGATGGAGGGAGTACATATTAATATTTTAATCAAAGAAGAATAATAGATGATAATAGGATTAACATCGCATTGCGCTTTTTGTGTGGCTGGTTGCATCGTCGTATGATCGTTGGTAAAAAAAATTGAGCAATCTAGATACATGAACAGTGTAACCCTTATTACACTGATAGACTAACCCCTTATTATACTTATTAAGTGATGAATCACATTTATATAGGATTTATAGGCACGTTTTTATGCTAGTTTTATTGTTGCTTTTTCGAGAGAGTGAAGGGTAGCTCAAGTTGTTAGGGTTCCCCTCCCGCTTCCAAGAGATAATATTGGGATCAATTCTCATCACCCGTCCTTGTGGCTCTCTAAACACCAAAAAAAATATAGTTGCTTTTTAGGTCTTTTGTTGCCTTTTAGGTAGAAAATGCATTTGTTTTATTCTCTATTATATTTCGTTTATGTTTTCTTAATGTTTCATGTAGTTTCTATAATTATTTGGACGCTTTCGGAGTGGTTTTAGACGAATGAAACAATGAAAGGATGAAAAGTAGATGAATCGAAGTCGTTGAATGAAGGATATGTGTTTGTGGAAGCCTAGATTGAGATTTATAAGCATATGGAATGAACGTAGCATCCTTAAGAATCGCTATGCACCTTTTGGGAATGAATTTGAATTAGAAACGAAACGATGGTTTTTTTACAAAGTAGCAAAACTGACATTTATTCACTCTTTTGATCATAACTTGAGTTCTACATATCGGATTAAAGTGATTCAAGTTGTGTTGGAACTAGATTTGAATAGGTTTCCAAAAGGTAGGTCACGTGGCTATATACAACTTATGAATTAGAAGTTATAAACCCGTGAAGTTGACGTTGTGCCTGTAGTGCGAGCTCGCGAGCTAGCTCGCATAGGCCGCAATCCCACCAGCAGTTTGCGATAGCTTACTTGACGAGGGAGCTATAACTCCAATTGACCCACGTTCAACAGCAGCAAGCAAGGGGCATCGCAGCACATCCTTTGCTTGGCCCTCGATTTCATCGAGCATCTTCGTGCCACGTCATCTTCTATCGTCCAATCGTTTGATAAGTTGTGTAATTTATATTTTCTTATTTCTTTTCTTTAATTATTTTTAGATTAGAATTTAAGGAATTATAAAGACTTAAGGAAATTTTATATTCTCCTCATGCTTTTTATTATTGTTTTACGTTCGTTTTAGTTTTCTCTCTAGCCATAGTTTCTCTTGGACAATTCCGTGATTCTTTCATGGTTTGCTCCTGAGTTTGTTACATTAATTCGTTAAGGTATTTTATTTCTCACTTTTATTATTCTTTCTTTGTTAGATTTAGTTTTAATTTTTTATTTTACTTGAATAGTTTATTTCTAGGGTTTGAGAATCCACATTTATACAATGAATTTTAATTAATGTTACTGATATTTTGATTATTCATATCTCTAATTGATAGTGTTATAATGTTAATCTTAAAACCTGGTCAATTGTTTGATTAATTATTGTTAGTAAGAGTTTGAATTGAAAGATCGTACTTTTAGAGGCTTGCCTACAATTAACAATTCTGATTATGTTAACGATCGTACTGCAAATGTTGAATTGAGAGTGTTAATACCCGACTGTAGGCTTAGCAATTGTTCTAGATACTTGATTAATTAATTGTTAATGGTATTTTGATAGATTTAGAACTATAATCATGGTGAACCATAACCCTAGAACTTTTTATTATTTTTATTCTTATTACAAATTAGACTACTTTTCTATTCCCGAATTTTGTTAAATAATTTAGTTTCTCCAATTCCTTAGAAGTTAGGTTCAATAGTCACCTCTCTGTGGATTCGACCCTACTTACCCTACTACATTGTTAATTGGTTTTGTTAGGAATTTATCTTTGACTGTTGTACGACAACCTATCATTAAGTACTATGAAATAACGTAACAAATTAGGTCCTACAAAACTGACAGAGTAACCCTTACAATACTAATTAATTAACCACTATAACCCTAGATGAATAACCCCATGTTGGCTAGCCACATATAAAAGTTAGTGTAGGACTAAATTTTTTTTTGAACTATCATCACATTATTTCAATTTTTTATTTATTCTATATTATATTACCATCAGCTTTGCACCACTTCTCATTTTAGAAAACCCCAACCTTATCCTCCCACTAGTTCAACTGTTCTCAACCCCTGCTCGCCGGCGCCCCTCTCTTAGCCATCGCCGGCGAGTCTTGAACTTCTTTAATTTGTTTTCTTTATTTTGCTTTATTTTCTAGGTTTTTTATGGTAAAGGAAACAAGGGAGTTTCCATAGCTGGTTTGTTCTTCAAGTTCATCGGTGGTTAATCTCGTTTTTGTTGTCGTCAAGTGGTTTAGCTTCTTCTCCAACGAAACAAGGAGCCAAGGCTATTCTTAACGCCGCCGTTGAAAGGAATTCCGTTTATTGTTTCCCGACGATTAAGGTGAAGTTAAGGTTAAGGTTTTATCGCTTAATCGAAGTTTTATTTAGGTGAGGCGGCTTTCTTGCGTTAGCCTTGACGGTTGATCAAAGTTTTTCGGGTGTATTTCTGCTAGTGAGGTAGTTTTTTTGTTTGCTTTTTCGCTCCCCTCAGTATTATTTTTCCTTGTTTTAGTTAGTTTAGCCTTAGTTCTCTTGGTTAGTTCTTTGTTTTGCCTTGTTCGAGTAATCTCTAAGTTTTATGTTGTATTTGTTTAGTTTATTTTCCTTAATAAGTCTGGTAATTAGGCTTCGAATAGTTGGAGTTCCTTTGTTTGAATTTGTTGTTGGCTGTCCATGATATGGATTTTCTATTGTCTCGGGCCGTATTGTTTTGCTCCTTGGTCTGTTCCTTGGTGGGTACAGGGGCTAAGAAAGGTAGTTTAATTTGGGGTATTGCTTTTAGGAATTGGCAGGTGCTTGTCCTTTGGTTTAATTCACAGCAGTTAATTCTATTTGTGGTTTTGAGGATGGGATGTTTTATCCTCTATAGGCTTAGAATTTTAGAAAAGCGTTTTAGCCTATTTAACTTTGCAGATTTGTAGTCTTTAGAATGCAGGTTGTTTATGGGTAGTGTTTTAGTAGTGGTTTGTAGAAGAACAAAGGATTGTGTCTTTTGGTCTTCGATTGAGTGTAGAAGGGTCGTGAGGTGTTAGGTTTTGCGGTGTACAACACCGATGGAAAAAAACCCGATAATCGAATCGCATGCATAATAATTACAACATAAACAAAAGCATGCAAATAGGCAAAACACAAACACATAAAGAGAAGAGAGAGAAAGAAACTCACCCTAGATGCGTGCTTTGCTCACTCAACGAGCTCAAACTTGGAAAGCTTCAAGCTTCGCAAGTGAGAAACCTCCGACGGCTCACACCCTCGCTCACCGAACCGGAACTGGCCCCTACCCCGTAGCTTAGACAAAGATAGACCAAAAATAACTTTGAGTTTACGAACTAAGGTTTCCTTGCTTTTGGAGATCACTTAGATTTCACCAATTCAATTGAAAATCCCAATACCCAATGACTGGTATTTATAGGAAATTGTTCCCAAGAATTCCCATCATCTTTCAATGTGGGATAGTTGGTAAAATGCCAAATGAAAGAATTAAATTAACTCTAAATTAAATTAAAATGGAAAAACAATCATCAAAAAACAAGTGGCACAAAAAGAGCAAGAGAGTAGGTGAGGACCACAAAGGGAAGGATCACCTTCCCTTGCTCCTCAAGCAAAACCCTTCTAACAAACCGGCCCACTATCATGCAGCCAGCAGGCAGGCTGCCTTGGCCACCAAGGCTACCGTGCTGGTGCTTGGTGCCTTGGCTGGCCTGCCTTGCTGTGCGATACGGGGATGTTGCTGCTCTTGTTGGGCAAGCCGCTCGGGCTAGCTAGCACTAGCAGTAGCTAATGAGGCCCAGCGCATTAGTGTGAGGCTAGCCTTGCTAGCACTGCTAGCACGCGAGCTCGGCCAACAAGCTCCAGCTAGCACCCGCATAGGCTGCTAGGCTTGAGGCTTTGCTAGAGTTCAGGTTAGCAACCCTATATAGCCTAGCCCTCATTTAGCTAGGCCAATGCAAGGCTAAGGCTATGTATTGACTTGTTGTTTGAGGTTATTTCTCGTCTCGTCGATTCCTAAATTCGACTCGACGTTCGACGCTCGGCTTCGACGTTCTAAGCTCGGAATCCAACGTCTTAGTTCGTAAAATCTTATCAACTCATTTAATCCTTCAGATTAATTCGTCGCTTTGGTTCGATTACACGATTGGGTATGACCCGAAGGATTAAGTCTAGAGCAATCTGTAATATTAATTATACATTAATATCACTGATCAGAAGCGGCCTCCAGCTAGACATTTCGATCACTTGACCTCACTTAATAATTAGCTTTCCAAATTAATTTCGAACTCTCTACCGGAATAATACACTTGTTTGAAGGACACCATTCCTTTCAATCTCACACTTGTCCTTTCAGACAAGTGTGCTGATTGTGTATAGCCTGTTTCCTATGTCACTTAATGCCTCTCCATGAATTATAAGGTAAGATTCTTCGTCATCCTTATTACGTCCTGAAGTGTTTCTCGATTTCCGAGTTTGACTGTGAATAAGCAGATGATTTCTAAAATCCATCTGAGCACGACCATGCATTTTCACAGTCTCGCTCTTCGAGAGGCCTTGTAAACAACAAAGACATGTTCCCTACTATTAATAGGGGGACATTCCCAGTCTTGCATTGTTAGCTTCCCTTACTAAGAGGCCCTAGCCACCTGAGTGTTGCCTTTATAATCCCCTTGTACGATAGAAGTTTGACAACATCAAAACGGACTAGTACTCAAACAAGAGAACTTACAATACTCATAGGGGTGAGGAAAGAGGTTCCGATAGCCATAATGAGTAATATACTTATAACGATTGTTAAACCTCTTAAAGGATTCTTATAGGTTGATTCAGTATAGTGCCAAACCAATACCTATTCAAATGATTTATGACATTCTTGTCCTTGTAGCATAAGAAACGGTGCTATAAATCATACTACACACTAATCTCACGTGGTCATTAGTCGTCCAACTTTCAAATGACCTTGATTAGGGATAATTTCAATATAATATTCAACGTTCACTTAATAGGTGTTTCTTTATCAAAGACATTGTCTTGATACCCTATTTTGAATATCCTCAAATCGAATAGAGTCATTATTTAATTATAAACCAAAATTAAATAGAAATGGAATAATAATTTACAGAAAAATTAAATTACTCCATAACTGAATGGTTCAACATAGTGTTTTACATTAAAGTCTCCAAAACTCAAATTAAAACACATAAATAGGGAAATCAAAGCCAATCTCCAATATGCCTGATTCCCATTGTCTCAATGTGCTTGTTGTGTTTCACTTGAGGTAAAGGTTTAGTGAGTGGATCGGCTACATCGTCGTCTGTTCCAATCTTGCAAATTCTTATTTTGAACCTCAGACTTCTATTCCCTTATCATGTGAAATCGCCTCATGACATATTTGACTTTTTGATGCTCCCTTGGCTCTCTGGCCTAAGAAATAGCCCCACTATTATCACAATAGAGGTCTATTGGTCCCTTTATATAGGGTATAACACCAAGTACAACAACAAACTTACGAATCCAAACTGCCTCCTTAGCTGCTTCTGAAGCTGCCAAGTATATATTCGGCTTCATTTGTAGAATCTGCAGTCGTGCTTTGCTTAACACTCTTCCAATTGAACGCTCCTCCATTAAGATAGAACACGTATCCTGATTGCGACTTGAAGTCGTCTCTATTAGTTTGGAAGATTGCGTTGGTATAACCTTCAACAACCAAATCCTTACTCCCACCATAGACAAGAAATTTATCCTTGTTCCTTTTCAGGTACTTTAGGATATTCTTGGCCGTAGTCCAATGCGCCTCTCCTAGATCTGATTGGTATGGGCTCATAGCGCTCAAGGCATACGATACATCCGGCCTTGTACATATCATGGCGTACATGATCGATCCAATAAGTGAAGCATATGGAATCTGACTCATTCTCTCTCGCTCATCAGGTGTCTTTGTACATTGTTTGTTGTTGAGAGTTATGCCATGAAACATGGGTAGGTGGCCTCTCTTGGCTTCCACCGTATTGAATCGTGCCAATACCTTATCAATATAAGTACTTTGGCTCAATCCAATCATCCTCTTAGATCTATCCCTATAGATCTTGATCCCCAATATGTATTGTGCCTCTCCCAAGTCCTTCATTGAAAAACATTTTCCAAGTCAAGTCTTTACAGACTCCAGCATTGGAATGCTGTTTCCAATGAGCAATATGTCATCGACATATAAGACGAGAAATGCGATGTCACTCCCACTGACCTTGAACACAAGATTCATCTGGATTCTTGATAAAACTAAACTTGCTAATGGCTTCATCGAATGGCAGATTCCAACTCCTGCTTGCCTGCTTTAATCCAAAAATGTACTTCTTAAGCTTGCATACCTTCCCAGCATTGTTTGGATCGACATAACCTTCCAGCTGTGTCATAAACACAGTTTCTTCTAAAGTCCCATTAAGAGAGGCGGTTTTGACATCCATTTGCCATATTTCATAATCATAATATGTGTCAATTGCTAGGATAATACGGACGGACTTAAGCATGGCAACTGGCGAAAAGGTTTCATCATAATCAACCCCGTGAATTTGCTTGTAACCTTTTGCCACCAGTCTAGCTTTGTATACATATACAACTCCATCTTTGTCGGTTTTGAACTTGAAAATCCATTTACAACCCATAGGTGTGTAACCTTCGGGCAAATCAACCAAGTCCTATACTTGATTTTCAAACATGGAGTCTATCTCGAATTTACTGGCTTCTTGCCATTTTGCAGAGTCAGGGCTTGTCATAGCTTGTTTGTATGTCAGTGGCTCATCTTCATCCATATCTAGGATGTCTTGATTCTCGGTTGAGACAACACCGAGGTATCTGTCTGGTTGAGATCTTGGCCTTTGCGACCTACGCAGGGTAATAGATTAAGCATTTGCATTGTCATTTTGACTTTGAACATTGTCGATTTTACTTTGACCATTTTCTGTTTGACCCTGACCATTTTCAACAGCTGCTTCCAAAGTACTTTGATTATCAGTTTTGTCAGGTTGACTTTGTTGCTCATCTTCTCGAACTTCATCAAGTTCGATTTTCCTCCCACTTGTCATTTTGGAAATATGCTCCTTTTCCAAAAAGACACCATCACGAGCAACAAATACTTTGTTCTTAGATTGGTTGTAAAGTAATAGTCCTTTATTTCTTTTAGATATCCCACAAAGAAACATTTGTTAGATTTTGGTGCAAGCTTGTCAGACATGAGTCTTTTGACATATGCTTCACAACCCCAAATCTTAAGAAAAGACAACCATGGAGGTTTCTTCATCCATAATTCATATGGAGTCTTTTCGGCAGCTTTTGACGGAGCGCGGTTCAGTGTTAGTGATACAGTTAGAAGTGCGTATCCCGAAAAAGAGATACAAAGAATACTAAGACCCATTGATCGAACCATGTCTAATAGAGTTCGATTTCTCCTCTCGAATACTCCATTCCATTAT